AGAAATAGAAGGAAGAATCAATAAATGATATTATATCGGACTAAAAAGTGTCTATAGCAAAAGAATCAATCAGTAGAGTAAAGAGACAATCTACAGAATGGGAAAAAAATTTTTCTAGCTACTACTCAGAGAGAGCACTAATATCTAGAATATAAAAAACTTGAAAAAATTAAAGATCCAGTCAAGAAATGGACAAGAAAAATCAATAGACACTTTACAGAGGAAGAAATACAAATGGTCAATAAATATGTGAAAAAATGTTCAACATCTCTAGCCACTAGAAAAATGCAAATTAAAACAATGCTAAAATTCCATCTTACTCTGGAAATAATGGTAATCAATGAGAAATCAAACAGTAACAAATACTCCATTGTTGATGGGAATGTAAACTAGTATAACCATTATGGAAATTAGTATGGTGATTTCTCAAAACACTGAAATTAGAAATTCCATATGACCCAGCTAACCCTCTCCTAGGTATCTTCTCCAAATAAGTCATCAAACTATAGTGATACATGCATATCAAGGTTTATAGCAGTGCAATTCATAATAGCTAAATCTTGGAAGCAGCCTGTGTACTGATTAACAGACATTTGGACAAAAAATGTATCTATATATAATGGAATATTACTCAGTTATAAAGAATGACACATTTGAAGGAAAATGGATGCACATGGAAAATATAATGTTAAGTAAAATAAATTAAACACATAAGCTTAAATACCATATAGTATTGCTCATTTGAGTAAGGCAAAGTACAAACAAAAAAAAAGATATAGGATAAAGAGAAAGGGACTAAAGGACAGATCTCTTGCAATAGGGAAGTGATCCAAGGGAACAAGAACAAGGGATGAGGAGGAGTGAAAGGAGAAATGAAAGAAATAAAGATATACCTTGTGAAGAAGCCTAATAATCTCAATTAATGTGAACACTAAATAAACATAACATGAGCTTAGAAAAGTAATATCAACAAATATGAAAAAGAAGATAGGGAAATATTGGGGGGAGGTGTTAGGGAAGAGAAGGGGAAGAGGATTAAAAATAAGCTGTACTATGGATGAATAACCACTCCTCAAAATGATTATAAACTGACTAAATTGCAAACATGTACTAAAAAAAAAGAATTGAAAAAAATATGAATGGTGCTGAGCATGGTGGTGCACATCTGAAGTCCCCACACTCTGGGAGGCTCAGGCAAGAAAGTTGCAAGTTTGAACCCACTCGGGGCAATTTAATGAGACCCTGCCTCAAAATAAAATATAGAAAAAGGGCTGGAGATGTAGCTCACTACAAAGGCCCTGGGTCCAAAATCTCTAGTATCACAAAAAGAGAAAAGGGAAAAGGAAATATTAGAAAAAAAGAAAAATAAGTGGCTAGACAAAGAAAAGAATGACAATACATACATTTTTACATGGGATATATAACCAGAATATAAGTCAGAAACTTAAAATACAACCTTTGGGCTCAGTGGTAGAGAATATGCTCAGTATGTGTGCAGTGCTGGCCTTAAAGCACCAAAACAAAAGCATTTTTAAAAATAGGCAGAAGGCTTTTTTATAGCTTGTGTCTAGATGTCCCCCCAAAGCCTCATGTAGCCATGAGATGGCTTTTTCAGAGGTGGCTGAATCTAGAGTATGTGATTGATTCTTGGTGCAGTGCTAGGATTAAAGGTGGGTGACTACTAATCAGTCTACTGATTGGTTCAGCACTGCCCTAATACTGGTAAGCTGGATACAATATAAGGGACAGAAGAAGGGTTGTCTTGCTTCTTGCCTGTTTTGCTACCTTCTGCTCACTGTGAACAGTTTCTTCTCTGTGCTGCCTGTGTGCCATGCCACCCTGCTTTGGAGTCAGCTGTTGGACTGAAACTGTAAACTAAATAAACCCTTCCTCCTTAAACTTTATGTGTCTGGTATTTTGTCTCAGCACTGAGAAACGTAACTAAGACAGAATTCAATAATAACTTCACAAAGGAAGGTATTAAAAATTACCATAAAGAACATGAAAGAGTGCTGAACACCATGAGTCATGAGGCAGATTAAAAGAAAGACCACAGTGTTTCAATATTCAATGATCCAGGATATGGAACAAGTACTTCCCCTCAAAAGAGAAGCCTGGAATCTGGTTGAAAACTACTGTCACCATCTCCAACTTTTTAATAACTTTATCTTTGAACTTGTGTTTTGCAAGGAAGTTCAGTGAGACAGTGGAGTTTAAACATGAACGCAGGAAAATGCATCTGTGTATGTGTAAACAGTATCTTGCTGTATTATAGCATTGTCTTACACAGCTTCCATAGCACACTTAATTTGATTCTCACTGAACTTCCATGCACTATGAGTGCACTGCAATTTAGTGCTAATATTTTGTATCAACACATCTTCAAAAAACCATATTTTCTGTTTGAACCAGACTTGCCTTCCATGTCTATAGATTTACCTCTTCTGAAGAGTTTGTATAAATGAAATTATACAATATATAGTCTCTTCTGGCTCGATTCTCTTATTTAACATAATGTTTTTGAGTTTCATCTATGTTATAGCATGTATCAGTACTTTATTTCCTTTTATTATGACAATACATTTAAGATTTATTATTTTAAATTGTACTATTTAAAAATGTACAATTCAGTGGCACTAAGTGCATTAACAATATTGGTTAACTTTCACCATTGTCCATTTCCATAACGGTTTCATCACCCCAAATAGAAACTATATCCACTAACCCCCTGGCTTTGCACTGCCTGCCCCCCCCCCGCCCCCGCACCACCACCACCACCACAGTTTCAGGTAACCTCTAGTGCTTCCTATGTCTGTGTACTTGCCTATTAATAGAATTGCATTCCTTTTTATGATTGAGTAGTATTTTATCATAGATAGCACTTTAAAAGATCCATTCTTCCATTGATGAATACTTGGGTTGTTTACACCTTTTGGTTTTTGTGAATAATGCTGCTATGCACATTGATATAGATATGTTTGTTTGAGTTTCAACGCTTTTGAGTATAACCTGGGTGTCTTAGTTATTTTTCCCTCATTGCTGAGACAAAATACCCAACACCAAAAATGAAAGCAGGAAAAGTTTATTTAAGCTCACTGTTTTTGGAGATTTCGGTCCATAATCAGCTGGGTCCAAGGCACGGTGGCATGGCACTGAGAAAACAGTTTAAGGCAGCAGCCAGAAAAAAGTAGCCAGAGCAAAAGGGAGAGAACAGGCCTCTTTTCTTCCCTTGTATTGTAAGCAGGCTACCCCTCCTCAGGGCAGGTGCAGCACTCATATCACCTCTGTGCCCTCCTCTTTCACAGGCTGAGCACATTTACAAAGTAAAGATCTAGCTCCTTGCTGAGTTTCTAAATTAAATTTCTAAACTTCTCAAGTTGACACAGTGTATCAGCATAACACCAGGAGTGGAATTACTTGAGCCTATGGTACTTTTCTGTGTTTATGTGATGTTGTAGATTGAACCTAGGGACTCTGCAGTGAGCTTATCCATAGTGCTTCATTTTTAATTTTGAAACAGAGTCTCATAAATTTCTGAGTTGGGCTCAAGTTGTGCTCAAACTTGTGATCCTCCTGCCTCAACCTCCAGTAGTAGTAAGTAGGATTATAGGCATTCATGCCATACCTGGCTTTGATGTTCTCTTGAGGAGCTGTCAGATTGTTTTCCCCAGGAACTACACCATTGTATATTCCCACCAGTAATTCCTGAGGAGTACAATTTCTTCGTATCACCTCATTACATTTTATGTAAGATTTAAAATATTTTTAAAGAAAAAACTTTGTACATTAGTACTTTAACATCAATATATTCTTGATTTTTAAACAAGAGGCCCAGATTTTTGTTTTACAGTAGGCCCCACGAATTATATCATTTGCTCTGTTTACTAGGATGGTAAAAATTCAAAAGATTGACAACAAAAACTATTGTTGAGCATCTGGAATACCTGGCTACTCATATATTATTGGTAGGAGTATCAAGTGATACAGTCATTTTGGAAACTTCTCTGGAAGTTTCTATTTAGTTAAATATATATTTATCATATGACCTAAGAGAAAGATAAACATTTAAAAAAAGACAGTTGTTAAAAATTTTAAAAGATTGGGGCTGGGGATTTAGCTCAGCGGCATAAGCACCTGCCTTGCAAGCAGGCAGTCATGAGTTCGATCCCGGGTACCGAAAAAAAAAAAGTAAAAACAAAAAAAAATTTAAAAGATTAACTTGAAAATTATTTGGAATGTAGAATCCAACGAATAGAATTAAATCTGTAGATTGGATGGTTATAAGGAGTGAAGGAAGAAGAGAAAGGGAAAAATAGTATGTTTCCATTTTGGTGGTTTGGTTTGTTTTGTTTTGTTTTTTTTTAAGTAGATGAGTGGTATTCCGTCAATAGTGAAATAATAAAAACAAAGCCAGAGGTGAGAGAGGATTAAATGATAGCTTTTAACATGTTGATTTTGAAATACATTAGCACTATCATTGTAGTGCATTTTCTTATCTTTTCACTACATCTTCCCATATGGGTGACTCACTTTCTATCATTTTTTTTCACCTAAAGGGACACTAGTTAATTTTAGCCCCCCTTGTAAGCTTGCACAATATGACCAATCTCCTAGCATTTTGCTTATTCCATGAGATACTCAACTGTAATTCTACCTACATGCTTTGGATTGGTGGTTGTTCTCATTAATCATGGGACATTTATAAACACTTAATTTTTCTTGTCTTGTTCTTTTTATGTCAATTACTTTAATTTAGCAGTATCTCTCAAAACACTTAAGTTTATGTTTTCACTCTCTAAATTTTATTTTATTTTTTTGGTACCGGGGATTGAACTCATGACCTCACGCTTGCCAAGTATGCACTTATACCACTAAGCTAAATCCCCGGCCTACTCTCTGAAATTTAAAAAGTAGAATTTTATATAATACTTGTTATTAACTTGTAGACATATAGGTAAAAATAAATTTAAATAATAAAAGGATAATGTCTTCTGATTTAGTTCTGGAGAGCAGAAGCATTACAGTATACATTCCAGGAAAGAAGTCTGGGGATGATATAGATCAACAAATGAGTTTTCCGGTTCAGTGCAGCTTTTGGTCTTTCATTGATATGAATTCATCTTCAAGGAGAAATGCACAGAAGACCAACACTCTAATTGGTCAGATGGTAAAGTACATATTTATGTTATTAGAACAATATTCAGAGAACTTAATCACAAATTTTAATGTTTTTATTTTTTTAGTAACTCATTTCTATATTAAGTGCTACAACTATATAGTGCCTCAATTTAAATTTAATTGTGTGTATGTTCGTGTGTGTGTGTGTGTGTGTGTGTGTGTGTGTGTGTGTGTGGTCCTAGGTTAAGACCCAGGGTTGTGAGCATGCTAGGCAAGTGCTCTGTGATTGAAGTACATCCCTAAAGTTGTTAATATATTTTTAGTTATGCAAATAAGATGTCTACTCAATAGAAATTTCCACTTGAGTCAGTGTTTGGAAGTCTTTAATAAGTAATGTCTAAAAAAGTATTAAATAAGAGCTTTTTAAAAAAATTTTGCAAAAATTTTGCTGTCCAAAAGTCTCCAGGCTATTGAAAAGTTGCTTTAAATTTTAATTAACAATGAAATGTTGATACTTCTAAACCTTTTACTCATGCAGTATGTTAATTAAATAAAATTTATAATTTATAGTAATTAAATAAAATATATATATTGTGATAAATTTGTAATTAATTTTTCCAAATTTTTCGAGGCTTACTGCTTACCTGTTACATTTTGGTTTGATGTAGGATTGCAGTTTGATTCCAGCTAACTTCGTGGAAGCATTTGGATTACTGATTAACTGCAATGAATCTTCTCCTTGCCACCCACTTCTTCCAACTGTGCAACACACCTTAAAGAAAGCCACTGATCCTGAAGGGCCACTTAATTTAGCTTCTAAACAGTTCCCTACAGAGGATTTTGAAAAGGTAAAAGTAGATAAGATGGTTACTCAGAATTGTTGTGTTACTGTTTCTCAATTTAAATAGAAATGTCTTTGACCACACAATTTTTCTTCCTTCCTTCCTTCCTTTCTTTCTTTCTCTTTTTCTTTCCTTCCTTTCTTTCTTTCTTTCTTTCTTTCTTTCTTTCTTTCTTTCTTTCTTCTTCACCTGCTGGCTACTGGAAACCACTCCCACTAATTGAGGCAGCAAATCCTTCCCTAAAGATAAAGCTTATAATATTATTAGTATTATTACTATTACTTGTGATATTATTAGTACTATTACTATGCAGTTTATAAAACTGGAGAGAATTATGGACCTTAAGGTGTAATGACAGGATGCATCCAATCCAGGACATGCCCAATCCAGAATATGTCCATATTCTTTTTTAAAAGAGTATATTTAAAATATAAATATTAAGTTGAATGTGGTAACACACACCTGTAATCCTAGCACTTTGGGAGGCTGAGGCAGGAGGACTGAATATTTAAATATGATTTAAAGTGCTCACTGACTGTGAAAAGGCCCATATATATTTACTCAATTTTTAACATATGAAACTAAAAAATAAGCCCAGTCTGGGCAATTTAGCCATTTAGTGAGACCCTGACTCAAAATAACCAGTAGGGAGGCTGAAGGAGGAGGATTGCAAATACCTTGGGTCTGTACAGTTACAAGAGGTGCTCAAAGTGGTGCCCATTAGCTTCCAAACACTTATTAGTACTGCGACTAATGCTTGGGTAACCTTGATCACTGAGATTGCTACACATGCATTTGCAATTTCTTCTTTAAGGGCTGGCAGTGCAGTGAATTTTCTGAGGTAAATGGCATCCTTTAGAGTCTCCCATGTGAGGATAACACCATCTATTGTAAAATATCATGTTATTTTTCTTTTCCTGAAATGTGTACATCTTTTACATCTCTTTCTCTCCCTCTCTCTATCTGTATATAACTTAAAATTAATTTTTCCTTTTTGCTCTGTGAATTAAAAAACAAAACTAGGATAGTAAAAGAAATCTGGAAGTAAAGTCATGAGGAAATAGACTGTCAAATAATTGAAGGTATTCAAAAAAGAAATAAGCTTCTGGAGGAGGTAAGTCTTTCTCCCATTGGAAGATATGTTAATCATACAAATACATTGTATAGAACATTGCTGCACTATGAAGGAGATTGTTCTAGGTAAACTTTAATATTCTTTGCAAGTAGAAGACTATGATTTAAAGTGCTCACTGATTGCAAAATGTCTCCATATATTTACTCAATTTTTAACGTATGAAACTTTAAAAATAAGGCTCTAGTATATTTTGTATAACTATACTCATTTGTCATATAGATTCTATTATAAAATTTAAATCTCTTAAAGTTTTCACTTTTAATCTAGCTACTGGCTTTTGCAAAGAATCTGAATGTAGAATTCAGCTTGGAGGCAGAAAGAATGATTCATGGTTATTATCTAGCAAGTCGCAGAATCAGAACAGATTCTATATATGGATCAAAACTGTCAGCATCTACATTAAAATATTTGTAGGTATTCAATTCAAAATGTTAAGGCCAGAATTGACTTCTAATTGATGTGTTTAATTAACTTGCTTATCTATTTCATTTGTTTCTGTTGGTTTGACCTTTGGTTGGTTGGCTTGTAGCTTACCTTGTTCCAAAGAATAGTAAACAGTTTAACAATTTCTTTTGTTGCATTTTTACATCACTTAAGCCTCTAATAATTCTTTTCACTAAATTTTTTATTTGATCCCTTGAATGAGATGTGTCTGAGAAAAGCATACAAATTTCAAATGCAAAGAACTGCTATTTAAAGTGTATCTGTTTATATTCCAAGTTGTAGTTGGACTTAGAAAAAATTCTTTAAGTATACTGTTTCTTTTATTTTTAAGTCTTTAATACATTCAACTCTTATTGTTCCTTCAAGTTAAAAAACTTATTTTTATTATAAAACAAAATATGAACATTGTAAAAATCTAAAATTATGAGTAAAGTATCCTACTAACCTTACTTATTCTTGCCTCACTCACCATAATCACTATTAACAGTTTTTATGTATCTTTCTAGAAAGTATTCACTCAAATGTTAATGCATATATAATTTAAACATATAAATATATTTTATTTAAATTCACTTAAAAATTAATGTTAAACAATGTTAAATATAGAATTTTTCATATGAATTGCCCAAATGAAATCAAGCATGTACAGAAAAAAATTGCTTCATTCTATTTTAATAGCTGTATCAGTTTTACTGTGTTGTGATTAGTAACATAGCTAAACCATAAGTTACACAGTTCCCAATTGACAGACCATTACTTCACTTGATATAATTTTAAATATAATCTCAAAGTATGAAACAGAATCAGGAGTAAAATAATCCATTAAGTAAATAACATAGTATCTTATTACCACAACATAAAATAAGAAAGATGAAGGATTGGAAAGAAATATCAATCATAGGTCTATAAGAGCTAGATATGTTTAGTTAATTTCCCTAGCTGTATATTTTCATAGAGTTGAAAAGACTTCAAAAGATAAGGCAAGGTAGAAATTGACAATAAACAGAATCATATAGTGATTTCCTTTTTTTTTTTTTTTTTTTGCCTTTTTCCTTTTTATCGGCACCAGGGATCGAACTCACGACTGCCTGCTTGCAAGGCAGGCGCTTATGCCACTGAGCTAAATCCCCAGCCCCGATTTCCATTTTTTCTAAAGTAAAAATGGGCTGATATTTAAGTGGTTAATGCTCATTTCTTAATCTGTTACTATCAAAGTACATGTATTTTTATAACATCAACATACTTTTGTATGAATTTTCTTTTTTAGAGTTTCTTTATCTGAAGCCCATACACGATTAAACCTAAGGAATAAAGTGCTCATAGAAGATGTACTAATTGCAGCATTGTTATTTGAAACATCTCTCACATTGAAATATGGTAAATATTTTTAATGATTCCTACAAATAATTTTATTTATTCTTTATTAACACTACATATATTTTAAATATTATAGAATTATAAATTAACAAGATTTATTTGAATTTTAACACATTTATTGTTTACAATAGTTATCAGGTCCTGACCTAGATCTCCAATCTCCCAAATGAGTGTACTGCAGAGGTTTAAATAAAATGAGACAAATCATATGATTTGTCTGGGAGAGTTAAAACCCTTTAGTTGAGCTCAAGACTTGGAGGACTAAGACAAAGACTTCTCTGGACTGCCCATTTTTATTAGGTCCAACAACAAGGGGCGGGGAAACTGAGGAAAGTGCAGGCAATGAGCAAGACCTTGGGAGTCACTTCAAGGACATTTCCAAGTAATGAATCAAGTCAATTCAGTAGAACTGTCTTATCATGAAGACATGGTAGGAGTGAGACAGTAGGTGTAATTCCTGCAGCTGCAGTCTCTATCTACTTAGTTGATGTTTGAGCCAAGTGTCTGCAGCTGTGGCGTTATCTTGCCCTTTGTGATATCTCTGGCCTCACAGGCCACTACAGGCCTCAGCCAGGACCAGTGATTCATAGAGATTCACTTACTATGAATCAGCTCCCATTGCCAGGCAAGGGCTTAGACCTAGGACAGACTCACAGATAAACATAGAAAGCCAATTAGCAAAATTTAAATCCTGCTCAGAGCTGCTTCATAGTGGTCTCCAATAAGTAGTATCATCTAATATTGTTTCTTATTATGCATTGCTTGTTTTTATACTTGAAATTTTGTTTGGTTGAAGAATTCCAGGGGGAAAGTACTTAATACAACACATTAAATTATTTAATGTATATTCATTTTTTAAATAATGGTGTATTTGTCAAGCAATCTTCAATAGTGGAGTTAGGCACATAGCCAAAACAGTCACCTCTCTGCATTGATAGACTTAATACTGTGACTACAGTGCACAGTCATTTAAAATGAATGACACTTACTGTGCTGTTGCTAATAAAAATATAAAAGACCCCTAACACAAAGGTAAGGAGAGTTAAGTGATAAAAGTTTTCATTAAACATCATCCTTCAAACCATTTCAACACTGGCTTTTCTGTGTCTTTAGTGCTCAAATGTGTTTCAGCTACATTTATATTATGTTGTCACAAAGATCTATTTGAACTTTATAGTCTTATTTCTAAAATTGTCTAAATAAAGCATTCTTTATCTATGATAAAGGGATTTGTAGAGTCCTAGGGAATATGTTATATACAATTTGTATGTGTGTCCCCTTTCCCAGGTAGACAGGTTGTAAGTTTTATGGAGTATGTCTTAAGAGATTGATCACTGCCAGACAAAATTGTCATTATTAACTAGTTTTACCAAACAATAAAGATACTGATTTCCAACCAATACAAAGACAACAGGAAAGATATATAATTTGCTTTATCTTAATATTCTTATTTAACCAAGTTGAAGACATGTTATTTTACCATAAAAAATGTTGCCTATTTTATTGACATACCATCAATTTTTTTTTTATTGGTACTGGGGATCGAACTCATGACCGCCTGCTTACAAGGCAGGTGCTTACGCTGCTGCGCTAAATCCCCAGCCCCCCCCCCTTTTTCATACCCTCAATTGTTGAGACATCTGAGTTTCTATAATATGTTTTTGGATTTACAAACCATGATGTTATAATATTAAGGACTCTTGTTGTAGACCATGAGAGAATATTTTTTACTTGTTGTTTTTAAAGACTTCCTTGAAGCATTTAAGGAAGCATTTGAGGGAAATAAAACTATATGATTTCCCCCTTGAGTTATTTTGTTTTCATAATGAATTCCAGTCAGGTGTATTGATTTTCAAGTCTGAAGTAAAACAATATTAAGAGCTCCTTAAATGTATTTGAAATGTAAAAGAAAATGATCTCTACCAAAGGATATATTTTTGGACAGCAATTGACATGAAAAGTAAAGGCAGCTTTACACAAAGCCACATCTAGTACCATTTGTATGGTACCTTAAGTATAAAATTAATTTGCCCTCTTTTTACATTAGTTGCATACCATATAATAAAGTATACATTAAAAGAAAACTGTGAAGATACTTCATGGTTAATTATAATTTTTTTTTTTCTTTTTCCTTTTTATTGGTACCAGGGATCGAACTCACGACTGCCTGCTTGCAAGGCAGGCGCTTATGCCACTGAGCTAAATCCCCAGCCCCGGTTAATTATAATTTAAGGAGTGAAAGGAAAAGAAAGTTCTCTAAAAGATATAACTGCATATATATTTAAGTGTATAAGATAGATAACCATATTACTGAGTTTTGTTGGATTATTGAACAAAACTGTTTGCAGTCTCACTGTTTGAAAGTCCTCTCTATATGCTTTAATTTTGTAACTTGAACAACTATTTCTAAGATGACAATATGTAATTAACTAGTGATTTCCTACTGTTTATTTTTTCTAAAATTCTGTATAACTTGTACCCTTTTTTTTCTTTTTTCTCCTTAAATAAAATTAAAAAAAAATTTAAGGAGTGATATATTATAATGAATATTATGTGCTCTCTTATAATTATCACTATACATGATTCAGCAAATCATGAGTCAGCAAATGTTTACTGAATGACAAGTAGGTACTAGGCCTCTGATATACTACAGTTGTGGAAAAACAAAGTCTGTACTGGGTAATACAGCCTAGTGAGAAGACAGACATTAAAAAGTAAATACACTAGTGTATATTACGATTTGAGAGACTGTAAAGAAGAAAATAGGTTTATATTATAAGCAATAATAATAAAAGGTACTTACTTTTTTTTTTTTTTTTTTCTTTTCCCTTCAGTCCATTCCAAACTTTGATTTTTTTTTTGAGACAGTCTCACTATGTATTCAGGCTGGTCTCTTAAGGTGATCCTCCTTGCCTCAGCCTCCTGAGTGTTGAGATTACAGGTGTGCACTACCATGCCTGGTTTCTTACTTTGAATTATTAGGCAGACCTCTCTCAGGAAGAATGATTTATTTAAACTGACAGATAAAAATCCAGAAAGGGAAACTACTTATGTAGGTGTTTTTAAGAAAATGGAAGAGGCCAGGCTGGCTAAATATACTAAACAAAACAGAGTGGTGTGGGTTAAGCTTGGAGAGTAAGAGGGCAAGATCTGCAGAACCTCAAAGACTACAGGAGAAAATTGGGATTCTCTTCCAAATACAGTGGCAAACCACTGAAAGGCTTTTAGCAGATTCTAATATGATCAGTTATATTTGTGAAATGCTGTCTTCTGCAGTGGTGGTGAACCTATGGCACACATGCCTCACCAGGCTGTTATTGAAAGCTCTAAGTTCACCATCATTGTGTTAGTGGATGTGGAGAACGAACTGGAGGGGGTTAAGAATGTTGAGACAGACAGGAAATTGTTGTCAATGTCAAAAGTAATTGATAACAGAAGTTTCGACTAGGTAGAGGTAGTAGAAAATGGAAAGTAGGGATACATGTTGGACACAAAAACCAATAGGTTTTGTTCATCAACTAAATTAGGAGTTATGGCAGGGGTAAGGAGGAGAGGAATTAAGGAAACCCCTTAGGTTTATTCTTTGAGCAACCAGGTGAGTCATGGTACCATTTACCAGACTGGGAAGGCAAAAAGAAACATAGATGTTTGATACCCTACAGAGGTATCCATAGTTAAAAGAAGATGGACTTAAGAGTCCTAATCTAGAAATATAACAGCAACAATTAGCATAGAGATGGTATTCAAAGCTGAGAAGTATATTAAATCATCTAGAGACTACCGGGAATTCCAGCACTGACCTTAAAGAATTACAATATTTAGAAATGGGTGTTGAGGAGGAATTAACAAAGGAGACTAAGAAGCAGGAGCTAAATTGTAGGAAAATGCAATGTGGTGTTACGGAAGCCAAGAAAGAGGATATCTTAAGGGAGCAGACTGATGGGCTATAATGCTACTGAGAGTTTAAGATTACATTTAGTAGCCTAGAGGTTATGTAGCATATCATATGTAAAGAACTTTGAGATGCTGGCTGTTGAGATTAGGAAGTTGAGAATTTAGCTGGAAAAGATACAGTCCAATAAGGGATATGTACTTTTTAAAAATACATAAGGTATTCAAGTCACATGACATGTAGTGAACTGATCCTACAGAAAGCGAGCAACACCTGACCTGGTTGTACATTCCTGCGTCTAAGACCAGCCTGGACAACATAGCAAAAAGTGGCGGGGGAAAGGCGGGGTGGGGAGGACCAACAAGCTAAGACCTGAAAAATATGAGCAGAGATCAGATCCAAAACACACTGCTCTAGCTGGTTACTTCCTGATTTTACCTGAGACAAGAAAGCACATACAGAACTAGGTACGTATACTTGGTCTTAAACTGTCTTGAAGGCCTCATTTTGGGTTTCAAAAAAAAGGTCAAATTTAAATAATAAAACACTTGGATTGGTCAGAACTTGATTTTAAAAACACCAGAAGCCAGGTGTGGTGCTACATGCTTATACTAATTCCAGCACTTAGGAGGCTGACATATATGGTGATGCCCTGAAACTTTCACTATTCTGGTTGAAAATATGATTTAATATTTAGCATGTTAAGGAATAGTTCCCATTTACATTATATTTCTTTTTTTTTTTTAGGAGCCAGTGCATTTGTTGTTGCTCCAAATGCAGTATTTCCATTTGAACTGTATAATGAAGAGTATTTAGAACAAAGGGATCTCTATCTAACTGAGTGTCTACAACAGCTTCAACAGTTTATTGCCACATATGCACCAGGAACTGCGATTTTTTCTGGTGATGAATAAACAATGTACAGAAAAATTTTCACTTTTATTTAAGCAATGGGAAAAAGTATATTTGAATTGTTTTCAAGTAATGCTTCAGATAGTATCCTCTACATTAGACCATTTAAAAAATATAAAATGTAGGGGCTGGGGATTTAGCTCAGCGGCA